TTGGATGTGATAATCCTATTGGCTACATTTTAAGCCAATTTCCTAACTCTTCGGTGGGGCATAGCGGATTTGCCGCTCCAATTGGAGCGCCAGTCTGGGGATGTAACCTTCTCCTTACAGAAGTCTACAGTAAAATAACACTAAGTACCTTTTCGTAGCGTTGTGTTTCTGTCGGTGAGTAAGTTTCCAGGGGGTCATTCGCCTAACGGGATTGCTATGGAGAACGCTATCGCTTACGATTTCATTTCGTTATTTCTGGCCGCCTGAGGTTTTCAAATGCCTCGCGCTCTTTTTTTTCTTCCTTTGCATTGGTAATAACAATATTAAAGAAAATGAGCTTGAGGTATTTAAAATCCTTCGGAGGTCAGAAATAACAAAATGGAATCGTAAGCGATAGCGAGAGCCATAGCAATCCCGTAAGGCGATTAGCCAGCAGGTAGGGTTACTATTTAAAAATTTGAAAAGTTCTGACAAAAAGCCGGACATTTCGATAAAAGTCCAAACATTTCAGTCACAGAATGCAAACATCACCCACTTAGTTACAGTGATATACGCGTGGTGGCAGACGCTCGCTCCAGGGGGGCTCGATTAATATTTTGTTTTAAATTAATTAAAACTTAATAAAGATTATTTGACTTATTTGATATAACTTAATAAGTAGGTTTACTCGTATTCCATCCAATTAAAAAAACACGGACAAAGTCCGGAAAAATCCGGACGGATTTACCCTACCCCCAGGGCTCCACGGGGTACAGGATTGGGTCAGGGTAGGCAACGGCGCGATTGATAGTTTTGGTATCGCAAGCATCTATGGGCTATGGTGGTCGCTTACCCATCAGGCGAGCTATTTACTTGTTTGTCACCCTTTAAAAAAAACAAAACATTGTTATTAATATTAAATTGAGAATCAGTGGGAGATTTTGTACACACAGCATTTTCAAACAGAATGTGTTAAAGTAGAAAAAAACGAGCGAGCCTTACAGTAGTCGCGTATGATATGTAACATTTGAAATCTCACCTTATATTAGTACAAAAAGAAATAAAACCTAAAGGAATATTGTTATAAAGGAATAAGCCATTTGAACATTGTTTCACGAAAACTTCACGAAATCACTCCCACAAATTGCAGGAAAGCGAGAAGAAAGATGTTAATCATCAAAAATGTTATTTTTAGAAACTTCTCAAATGACTAAAATACTCCTTATTCTACCTACAAAGAAGCATTAATTATGTCTGTGTCAGAGAAGCCGTAGATGTGTTCGTTCGACCTACACACTCGGCAAGTAAATGTTTAACGTTACTCCAACATTGCGACGAAGAAAATTAAACGTTTGGCTTAATTGGATTAAATGTCGGTCTAAAATTTAAAGACGATGACATTTTCACCTTTGAAAACAGGGTTTCAAACTCATTATTTAGTAAATGCTGTAGGGAAACTTTTCACTTCTAAAACAACGAATTAACTGTTTAAAACTTCCTAAAGTTTCTTATAAATTATAACATTTTTTGTTTATAATCTATATTAAAAAAAAGTCGTGTTATGTAGAACACTTTATTATAACTTTCAAACAATGTAGTTTAGGCGGTGGCAAACGTGGGTGCAACGTTCATACATTTTTGAATAATGTCCTTTGTTTGAATTATTAATCAGGCTATCAATGGTATCAGACTGTAAAGCCCACCATTCACTACACGCACCGCGAGCCGAACCCCGAGCCGAACCCCGAGCCGTACCCATCCGTGGACAAATCCGTCATTGCCCACACTACACGAGCGCCGAGTTGCAGTCCAGTCGCTTGTGTACTTTGGTGAGCCTCGCGTGCCACCGGTGCTTTCCAAACGCACAAAAGTCGCTTTAGTAGTCGGTGCAATACTTTTAACGGAGAATAAAAAGAAAAAGAGCGTCTGAACAAAGGAATGGCTGAAACAACGAACCAAATATACTCATTTAAAATTTCTGCAATGCATTCAGTCCTGTAAACCACCTGTTTCTTTTTAGTTTTCTCTTTAAACAGCAGGATAAATTCTTGCCAAAACTCTTTATGATCGCCGAACGACATGTTATTATACTCGTTTACTCGTTCCTGATACAAACAACACAACTGCAGGCCAATTATGCTCGCTAATTGTGATATTGTTTTGATGTCAATTTCAGATTACGCATTATGCTCTCCGAAAAATGACATCAACTTTAAAATGATATCAACTTAAATGCGTATTATGTTCAACTTTTTGACATAAAACAGTATCGCATAAACGTCAAAAATGTGATACAGACTTAACAAGTTAGGAGGTGGTTTTTCTGTATTAAATTTCTTTATTTTTTAATAAAAAAGAGTAAAATGGCTCGTTTCGTGTTAGTAATGGACTATTTAGAACGTGCTCATGCCGAGGACATGCGTAGAAGAGATAAACCCCTTGTAGAAGAGATACAATTAGCTCTTTATGTTCGCTAATTGTGATATTGTTTTGATGTCAATTTCACATTACGTATTATGCTCTCCGAAAAATGCGATATCAAAATGACATCAAATTAAGCGTATTATGATCAACTCTTTAAAATGATATTAACTTAATATCAACTTAAATGCGTATTATGTTCAACTTTTTGACTTAAAACACTATCGCATTAACGTCAAAATAGTGATACAGACGTGATCCAGTATTAACAAGTTAAGAGGTGGTTCTGCGTGCACGCACTACAAATGACTGACAAGTTCGCCGATAAATCTGTGCAAGCACACACACGTACGGATTTGTACGGCGCGGCTGGGGTGCGGCGCGGCGCTCGCGTCTCTCGACGGCGAGCGCCGCGCCGAGCGGCGAGCCGCGCTCACCAATACATTCACACGCGGATTTGTCCGCGGACTTGTCGCCAGCGACAAATCCGGCGGATTGGCGCGCCTGTGAATGGTAGGCTTAAGATAGTATGTAAGAAAGTACTTAAACAATTCCTTTTAGTAGTCTTCGTATAGTCGTAGAAGCGGAGAACAAATAGGAAATTGGCTGTTTCCTTTTACAATTAGGTTCGATTCTTAAATAGATTATACAGTCTGTTTACCCACTTGACGATACAATCATTTACGTTTGTTCACAAAAGCTTGAATACACATTTTTATTATAAGTAGGAGGTGTGAATACTAATTGTAAAGTAATTATTTATGATAAGCTTTACACATTGTACTGCGTCCATACATTGTTGGCCTAAGAACCAACAATCACGACATATTATTTTGTAGGTTCGAAATTGCTAGTCAATTACTGTAAAAACAGAGATTTTTGACGGACACTTCCGAGAACTTCAATTTAAATGAAAACAAAATCATTTTTGAGGGTATGTTAAATACTAAATGACATATAGATAAACCTAAGGACTTAGTATGAAGTTATTAGAATTAAATAGTACAACTTATTCTTTTGTTCGTTGCGAATTTAAAGAATAATTATTAGGAAAAAATTGTTTAGATAGAGAGTTCCCACGGACGAGCGCTCTAAACACGATATGCCCTGCCCACAAAAATGAACGATATTAAAATGATTATTTTTATTATTTGTTGATAAATCGGCAGAAGAAATTTATACTTTGCGACATTCTCAAAATAACAAACAACTTTACACACGGATATTCTATTTAAGTGGTTCAGCCAAAAAAAAAATTTACTGTTCATGAGATTTATTTATTTGGGACACAGACCGCTGCTAGTAGATTTAAAAATGGTCCTGATGTCACCGTTTAGATTCAGAACTCCGAGAAGGACAAGCTTTGAAAAAAATAGTTCAAAATACTGTGACCGAAGGAATTTATAAACCTGACGGTTACTTACCGATAGGTATATAAATTCCTTGCCGTGACCTTTTTGCATGCCATTATCAATAGTTTGGATTGCCGATGTTTATTTTAAAAGTTAACCCACATTTTCACCTGTACGATAAATCTATTTTCAATATTGAAATGCGACTGTTAACACAAACAGTTCTCGGTCCGATTTGTAGTGAGAATTATTTACATATGCTTACCAAATAAATAACACCTGTCTGTACGTAACAGTCCTGTTTATTTTCTTTATTTCACTTGATTTACTCACAAAACGTTTTCAATGGCGATCGCCTTACGTACGTATGTTTTACAGCCTAAATGTACCATAGATCTTCGTTTCATACGCTGACATGTTAAACATCCTTGCTGAAGATAGATTATTGAAATGGACCACATCAGCAATTACCGATTATTCATTTTGTGTTGCATTCTTAAGAATTCACGATTAGCTGGGTTTGTTTCTTTATAAATACCTAAAACGCGTGGCGACGTTTTTTTAATGTTCCCTCTTTGCCGCCTATAAAACTTTTCAAATTAACAAGCAACAGAAAATAAAATAAAAGTTACACGCCGCGGTTTACTCCTAAATAAGGCTGCCTGACCACTGGAGCGGAGCAAGGCTGCGGAGCGGAGAAACGGAGAAATATTAACCAATAGGATTGCACTTATTCTATTCACTGAAGAGAAGCGGAGTTTTTTTTGGTGCAATCTTATTGGTTAATATTTCTCCGTTTCTCCGCACCGCAGCCACGCTCCGCTCCCGTGGACAGGCAACCTGAAAAAGAACTTAAATAAACTTTGACGAGAAAAGATGATATTTTTCTACAGTGGACATTTTCAATTAAACAATATTTCAAGTGCAACATGAGAACATTGCTGCGAATAAAAATAAATAAATCCCTGAATCTATTTATTGAGGTTTTGAGGCAACAGGGAACCTTTTGTCTGTCTGACTGTCGGTCCGCCTGCAGCTTAGCTCAGAGATTCTTAGTATTAGAAAACTGTAATTTGGCATGGATATACATGTCATATAATTTACGTCTAAAAAATGTGTTAAAATAAAATTATCGAAAAGGTTTTCTTACCAATGAGATATCAAGTTCAGTGGTCAATTTCATGCAGGTATTGCTCATGAAAAATATTAATAGGTTTGTCGGTCTGCTACAATGCTCTTATATTGCAGGTCCGTGGTTGAAGCTACGGATGTCCAGCTGAACATGCGCGTGGGCATCCACACGGGCCGCGTGCTGTGCGGCGTGCTTGGTTTGCGCAAGTGGCAATACGACGTGTGGTCCAATGACGTCACGCTCGCTAACAACATGGAGGCGGGCGGAGAGCCAGGGTATGTGTAGACGTCTTCATAACTTCTTGGTTGAAGCTATGGTTCAGCTGAATATGCGTGGGCATCCACATGGGTCGCGTCCTGTGCGGCGTGCTTGGTTTGCGCAAGTGGCAATACGACGTGTGGTCCAATGACGTCACGCTCGCTAACAACATGGAGGCGGGCAGAGAGCCAGGGTATGTGTAGACGTCTTCATAACTTCTTGGTTGAAGCTATGGTTCAGCTGAATATGCGGGGCATCCACATGGGTCGCGTCCTGTGCGGCGTGCTTGGTTTGCGCAAGTGGCAATACGACGTGTGGTCCAATGATGTCACGCTCGCTAACAACATGGAGGCGGGCGGAGAGCCAGGGTATGTGTAGACGTCTTCATAACTTCTTGGTTGAAGCTATGCTTCAGCTGAATATGCGTGGGCATCCACATGGGTCACGTGCTGTGCGGAGTACTGGGTCTGCGCAAGTGGCAATACGACGTGTGGTCCAATGACGTCACGCTCGCTAACAACATGGAGGGCGGAGATCCAGAGTATGTAGACGTCTTCATAACTTCTTGGTTGAATCTATGGTTCAGCTGAATATGCGTGGACATCCACATGGGTCGCGTGCTCTACGGAGTGCTGGGTCTGCGCAAGTGGCAATACGACGTGTGGTCCAATGACGTCACGCTCGCTAACAACATGGAGACGGGAGGAGATCCAGGGTATGTTTACGCAGCTCCTTCGTTAAGGCTATGAATGTGCAGTTTTGTTTGATATCTGATAGTCGTAATACCTATAATAATGGCATTTGTTTTTGATGAGTGTTGCGATGGTAACGCTGAGGAAGCAGAATGGCATCCCCTATCGCTTTTGTATGCTCTCAATAAAATCAAACATGTTAAATTTTCTGTGGCAGTTTTATAAATAAGCAAGTGGTTTCAGTGAACACGGTTACTTAGGTAATATTTCTCTTTCATATTCGGCTGGTCTCGTTTCGTTAAGAATTCTTTAGATAAAATGTCAACATAAGAGCTTTTGCGTCGGCTCCATTAATATTTATATTTCCCAGAAGACAACGATTCCCTAAATAAGATCTGAGAACATTGTACCTTTAGATTTTATTTTGTGTAGTAAGTAATTCTCAGATGTGTTAGCGGTATAACCGTGACAAGTGCTACAGAAATATTGTAAAAAATCTACGAGGAAAAATTAGGGAAAGCGACATTTCTAAATAAGACGCAAGTTCTCGAAGCATGGATCGATCTTGTTTTTGTAGTGATTCAGCAATGTCATGCTTTCCAATAACACCGAGGCGCAATTTTGCTGTTTGACATTTTTAGTACTAATAAATAACTCCACTTTAGGGCTAGATCTTTTATCACGAAAATAGGTGGCAGTAAAGTTTTGATATAGCCCACGTAGGTAAGCGGCCTCCGTAACCAACCCTGACCCATCTTCTACTGTGTGGATTTTTGGTGATGTTTCTCATTGCAAGTTAAATAATACTGTTGTATGTTTTTGTAAGGCAGTCATAGGTAGAAAAATTCTACATGATCCTAAAAAATGTAGTAGTTATAATTCTATTTAGGATTCTGTACCTAAAGGGCAATACATTTAAAAAATCAAGAGACCTGACTGCTTACAAATTACTCAAAACAAAAACTGAAAAGAAAAAACAAACCAGTAGTCTATAATTCTGTTAAGCAAGGAACAAAGCTTTTTAACAGTCGGGACACATTAGATATTCAAGAATGGATTTTTTTTTCAATAATGGGTTCTGACTGTTTAACTCGCTTTGTTCCTTACTTAACAGAATTATAGACAACTGGACTCGTTTTTTTCTTTTCGGGTTTTTATTTGAAGTAATATGTAAGCAGTAGAAAATGGTTAAGGCCACTTCTTAAACCATTCCACCATTAATTCCATAGGAGAGTACATATCACACAAGCTACGCTGGACAGCCTGGGCGGTGCCTACGAGGTGGAGCCAGGCCACGGCGCCAACAGAAACGCTTACCTGCGGGACCACTCGGTGCAAACCTACTTCATTATTCCTCCCCCGAGGCGGAGAAAAGTAAGCAAAAAACGTTTGTGACAATCAATTAGGCTCCTCACTACCTACCTTCTCGTTTGTACCGATTTCTTTTGAGACTTTTTTGGTGTTTGTTCCCTCTTTATTACGTAATGTGTTAACCTTATTCTCTGTGTCTGTTTTTTTTTTGTGATCAGGGTCTGAAGTAGCAACGACAAACCTTAGAATAATACAAAATCAGCTATTGAAGCTAGACGCTATACAGCTATTTCACTTAATTTTATTTTTATTGCGTCACACACATTATGTCAAATTAAGAGTTCTAACTACAGACACCATGACATTGGTTATTCTTGCACTACGGACATCGTACTTTATTTTTTCATAATAAAAGCCCTATTATTGTCCAATTATGTAGACCGACGTGGTATTGACAGATTCTGCGTGCATATGCATTTCTACAAATTTGGTTTCCATCAAAGGCAACCAATGTTGACATACGTAAATCATTATAATTTTACTACATGCTCACGTGAAACTTCTGAGAAAACGGATGCTAACCAACTGCTGCCAATTTCAGATGTGCCTATCGACCGGTGTCGGTTTAGGGTCGGGCTCTCGTCGCAAATTGTCATTCAAGAACGTTTCCAACGTGGTCGTACAACTATTACACTCCATAAAGTTCAACGTGGACGTCCCATTCTCCAATATGGCCGCCTCTCCCCAGGAACTCAAGGCCAACGCCGCTAGAAAGGTATTTATCGCCGCAGATGTACTGAACATAGACTTTTCACATGAGAAATAATAATTTAATTGAAAAAATATACCTTTGATTCTTTACTCGTACGTAACATTGAATTAATTTCATACATATCAGTTGATCGAAATGACAACGGTTATTAATAAGGAAGAAAATTATTAGTTTTTTAGTTTTTAATAATATTATGTCTATCGTGTCTGTTGGAGGGTTATCAAAAAGAAATCTATATTTTTGATTTGAATTTGGAATGATTCCTTTAAAGAGTTCGATATATTTAATATTTTGTTAAATTATTACATTTCGTTTATTCCCATTTTTTTATATTGTGAAATATTTTTAAGTACTTAAATGTATTTTAAAAAGCACATAATACTGTTGACGTCAGTAAGTTTCGCATTGCACTGCGACATGGCTAAACAGTACGAAGCTCATGTCTCCGGCTTTTGTCTTCAGACGTTCTCAAAGTGTGTTTTGTATCTCGGTTCCTTAACCACTTGCGAAAGGTAAGTTCTCTTTATATTTTTCATGGAATAACTTTGTTTTTTTTCAAGTGTATATGTGTGTGTGTATTTGTATTTTTCTCTTCTATGTACAAAAAATATAGATATATATGTAGTTGTTATTATTTTATATATCCATATAAAATATTAACACCTACATATATCTGATGCTTATGTTCCCCCCTAAAAAGAGTTTCTTTGACTTTGAATTTTTAATAAATATGAATTGTAACTTAAGTGTGCCTTTGATAAACTACGCTGTCATTCGAAATTTGTAGAAGTTATTTAATAGGTATAGGGATTTATAGTCGCCTGTGTCCAGTTTATGCTTACAAAACAAAAAGCAGCAGTAAAATACAACTACAGAAAAAGATTAGGGCTTTTACCAAAATACTTCAAAGTAGCCTACAACTTTCTTTTTTATAAGTGCTTGTATATAATAGTAATTTCAATCCTCCAAGAGTGTCCAGTCCAGTTTTTTTTTGCCAAATCCGGATTTAAGAACTTTTTGAGTGAAAAAAGCGGGATTCTTTGGTCGAAAGCGGGACATAGTAAAAAATATTATAATCAAATTTTTTTGAAAATTTACCTTTTTATTTGAGTTAAAATTACGTTTACGTGAAAATAGATAGGTACCTAGCAAAAATATCCATAAAAAATGTATTTAAATAAAAATATGATGTTTTAAATCAGATTTACCCTATCGTTAAATAGTTGAGTCTTTGTTTGAGATTTCTTCATTACGAGCCAGGCCACGGGCACGGTCGAGTTATTCCCGAAAAGCGGGATTGAGCCTGTTCTACGCCATTTTGATTTATAAATCGGGACGTTCCGCCAAAATCGGGACGTCTGGCAACGCTGTTAAAGAGTAACATTAAAGATAAAATTTAAGAAGAGTTTCGAAACATTCGAACACTCGCTTAATATTAAGGATTGCAAACAAATATAAAACATCATAATTTTGAAAATGACCAGTACTTTAAAAACTTTTCCGTGCTGTTATTTCAAGTTAGTAAAAAGTATTATTATGATTTCTTATTGTGCTGTATGTTACTCCTAGTTCAAACTGCCACTTAAATTTTTACTCCTTCCGAATGGAGCAAGAAAACCGCTTTTGTAAATAACAATGTACCTATAAAAAGAAAGAAAATAATCTCTGAAAGGAGCAAGGCTACTATGATATATTTTCTTTTATTAAACGACAATTCAATAAATCGATCGAAACTAAAGCTTTTAATTATGTTGAAACAAAACTACCTACTACAATGCACACGTCAATACACGTGAATAAATAAATAAAATTTCCTGCATTAACCCGTAAAAACTAGTTTTATTTAATGAGTGATGTGCGTGAAAACCTAAGAAACAAATACCTACTACAGTTACTACAACCTATACAGTTTAAATAGCTTGGTGGCAATTATTAAGCTCTTCTTAAATTTTGTTAAGATACTTGCAGATGACTAGGCGATAAAGTCTAAACATTTGTATTAATACGCGATATAGTCTGCAAAGTTTTATTGATACTATCTTTCCATTTGACCTGTTTACGAAACCGTAGTTTCGTAACAGGTTCCGATGAAGGAATTATTCTTCCTTATACGTAACTAGGTTCAATTACTTGTCTAAGTTACTTTACAGTACGTAAAGTCAAGTAGTAATGTTTCGAGAGACTTGCTTGTGTTACTAGTTATTTGTAATTTTATCGTATAGTAAGAAAGCGTGTAAAATTCAACAGCTGTAGTGAAAATTCATTGGCGTGCTCCTTATAGACAAAAAGATGCTCTTACCTGCACGTTACTGTTTAGACAACACTCGATGGGCGTATTCTTTTGTGTAGTGTGCGTAGGTATACAGTCAATAACATATCAATTTACCACAAAGTTTCAAGTTGCGAACCTTATATCGAGCGTCTGTAAGCTCAAAGTCAGTTAAAATAACATCATTAATATAAAAGTCTGCGTTTTACCAGAGGTGTATTTGATCGTTTTGTGTAAGTTGACCTGTTGCTGATATAAGTTCGCAAAGTCCAATAAATCTCTGTTGCATTGCGTTTTATTCGATTCATCAACACTAGTTTGATATAATAATGTAGTATGTAGGTAGGTCGCCTGGTATTATAGCACCCTATCCACTTAAAAATTGGTGAGTGTTTAGTCTTCGTATAGCTATGAGTATCCACAGAGCACCCCTACTATAACGGCACTCGCATGGGCCAAGTTTATATATCGACGAACGGCTATAAATCGTCACGCCAAATTATCATCCAACCGTGACGTCACACTGTGTCCTATCAAAACGAGTGTTGTTCCTTCCCGCATGCCTCAAACTTGGCGATTTCGATTTCAAACAAAATACAAGTAATCTGGACTAGTGCGGGTGCTCTGGGTGAATATAGTGCGAGTCAAAATGGCGGCTGTGAAGTTAGCGCAAAACGAGGCGCAGTAAGCGAAATGTGCCGTACACGCGGGATGTTGTGAACGATTAAGGAGCTGTTAAAGATCGTGCTTGGGCCTTTGAGCATAGTTGCAGTGGCTGCTAACTTCACAACCGCTATAAAGTTGAATAGCACTATATCCTAGCACGCTACTGGCAGGACAGCGGGTAACGGTCTATGTGGTATGTAGGTGCTGGACTTGCGCCGCGCGCTGCACGCGGAGCCCGGGTCGGCGGAGGCGCTGCGGTTGGCATCGCTGCGCGCGGAAGACGTGAGCGCCGCGCTGCACCCCCCCGCCCCCCAGCACCACACCTTCGACGCGGTCATGCAGCACCACCTGCGAACGCACCCCACGGTCCACATGGCACTTTCGCACTACCGCTCGCTGCCGCAGCCTTGCGTCACGATCGAACTGGATTTAAATGTGCTCGTTGCGCTTTTCATTTCCATGTCAATTACTCGATCGCGATAGATACAGATTTATATGTCTCCGTTTTGCTTTGGTTTTCTACGTCACGATATATCTTAAATTAAAATATGCCCGCCACGTTTTTGTTTTCCATGCTAATTACTCTCATCTCATTATATCCGGGAGGGTAGGTACTTGCTCAATATTTTAAGCAAGAAATAAACCATTTCATACAGTTTACGTTCTTTGAAATAAGTTTTTAGCTTTTAAAATTGTAATTCGTAAAGGAAGAACTTTTACCGAATTATTCCAAAACGCGGGCGAAATTTTAGTGTTGGTTTAAACCTAACGCTGTCGCTGTCTTCTGTTTAGCATACAATAGTGACAGCATCAGTTTAAGACCAGTTTTCACTTTTGTCAACGTTTTGTAATAAGGCAGTTACCTAAAGTTTATAAGTTGTTGGTACCAAGAAAATATAAATAATTTTTGGATATTTAAGAATAAAAGAAATATTAAAATAAGTTCTGAATAAGAAAAACCATAAGAATGACCTTTATTAAAACAAAGGAGAGTTTTGGCAGGTCGTTGACATTTTCGTTTTTAGGTGAAAGGTGTATTAATAATGGTGTAGAATCCATAATTATGTGTTACGTATCAGAATGTAATGGACATTCTGATACGAAACATACATAATTATGGATTATGATAATAATAAGATTATGTTAATTGGTAACATAAATACTGTTACTTTATTTAAAGTAGGTTAGTGTGGATATTGATTAATTTACTATAAATTGAAACATCAAAATATATATCATAATGGAACTAACTTGATAGGTATAAAATTAATATATCATTTTATGATATAGCTATATACTGATATGAGTAATTGATATCACAATAAGCGACATGGAAATTACTAACTTATATGTGACAATTAATTTTAAATAATATTTTTAATCTAAAAGTGACGCAAGGCTGCATATTACTCTTAGAATTGTGCGCAATTAAGACAAAACAAAAACTGACACGCACTTGTTTTTGTAATATAATAATTATGTTTGCGAGTTTCTGCACTTACGTAGGGATAATAGAATATGGTTCACAACTTAGGTCTAGATTTAGTCGCAATACAAAACCATATTGCTATATTACCCACGGTTTTATGATTTTCGCTTCTTGAGTTTCATAAAGAGTCTAATCGTTCGTGATACGACGAGACTCCAAACGATAACCTCGCTTCATGGTTTCTTTGTAGTTAGTTGGTTTTTGAGTGGTGGTTTATGAACTAAATCTATGCTTTCTCTCCTTAAGGTGTGCACTGAAGCTTCGTAAACGAATGCTATTTTATTATTTACGAGCTGTGGAAATGTTCGCTTCACATGTAATCATAAATCTTGCTCTCGAAAATCTAGTGGAGGATTTCATAGTCAGAACTGTCTTGTCCTGTGAATACAAAATATCTCGTTTTTTTCCATCGGCACAATATCCCTTATCACGTATACCCTCGATACTTCCAACTTAGTTGCTGGTTTCCAAGCTTTCACTCATTGTTGTCTCTTCCCAATGATTTCAACACAATTTCAAATAAAAAGCCTTGTGATGTTGTAAAAAAAGGAAATACTTATCATCCCCATTATAATGGGGATCATAAATCTTCAGAATACATGACAAAGTCCAAATTAGAACATTGCGTGGAAGACTCAAATACACCAGCAACTAACATGAGTCTGCTCGTTGTTTTTCAGATGTTCCGACCTTGGACATTAGTTCCACAACAAATACCCGCTGAAACCGTAAGCGCAGACAGATGTTGTTCATGTGTATTACTGTTTTCCACCATTGCACCGGGCAAATAACGCAAGTTTACCCCCCAAAAACGTGTGGTAGGACATCCAAATATCTGTGGATCCTTGACGCGTATGATGAGGTACACTTCTCTCACATTTACTATTCAAGCGGAGTTAGTGTTAAGTTAAAATGATGGAATAAAAAACGCGAGCACTCGAAACTCATTAATTGTTGTGTTATTTGGGTATATTTTGATTTCGCAAATGTTAATTGTTAATGATAAATTTTGTTTAACAATAAAGTCGACCGCACCGAACTGTGTTTCACTCGCTCTCCCTCCCTTGCCCCCCGAATTTTCACCTCTGCACTGGCATGGCATGACCCTACGCTGCCGAATAACTTGCATGGTAACCAACCATTGATTCTATAACTTATACTTACTAAAACGATGAACTTGGTTTTCGTGTTTGATTATGTCTTCCACGATTTAACGGATAACAAGAGCTAACGATAGCATTCAAACACTTCGAAGAAGCTCGGAAGAAATAATCAATACACCCTTTAGTTATAAGACTAGCAGAAGTGTAAATATTCATTAATTTTAAATGTACAATCTTCTAATATCAGTAAATAGAATTCTTCATTTAGTATCCTTAAATTTCTGTGTCCAAACTTCAATCTGAACTCATGTTCTGTACTGTTCTACTAATGTGATGCTGCTTCGGAGATCGGATCTTTTTGATTCTAAGGTCAGTCGTTATCTGTTTGGAGCATGGAGTCGGCATGCGGTGTACCCCGATGCGCCCCGATCTCGACGACCCCTGTTTAAATCCTATCCGAATTAAATGTTGTGAAATGTCAACCATCTTTCTAGTCCCGTCGTATCCAAAAACCAAAGTGTGTTCTGCGTAGCGTGTCTGGGATATTGTTGATTTGAATGTTCGTTCCAATCCACAGAATAAGGTCACGGAGAAGTTTAAACGGCCTCTGAAAAAGCGTCACTCGTCTGTATACCACCAGCCCACCAACCGCGTGAACAAGTACTTGGCGCAGGCCATCGACGCTCGCTCCGTGCACCGTGAGAAGGCGACTCATGTGCATTTACTCACGCTCTGCTTCAAAGACCCTGCTAAGGAGGCGCAGGTAATGGAATCTAATTTCAACATTCACGTCCAAAGCAACTGAATAAAGCAACATTTAGTAACCAAGGCCTTAATTTGGTTTTTATAAAAATGTTTTAATGTTTTATTAATAATCCACCAAAAAAATATATTTAATTAAAATATCGATATTTTGTCACTTGCTCATCCCAAGTTGTCAGAAGGAAATTAGGTCACTTTTTGCCAATGTGTATTTTATAATAATTCTTAGAAAAATTACTACAACTAAGATAAAAACGTGATAAATATTCACAAATTTATTTGCGTCTTCCGTACTTTGACTGCATTTAACTGTAATTTGGCAATCAGAGTGCAGTTTGTCTATTTATTATTGATGTGCCTTTTCAGAGGCGACTGGTATCAAGCAGAAACAAAATCTGATTTCTGTTATATTTTTGTCATATCACAGTACCGCGCGTCTACGGACGGCGGGTGGGCGGGGTCGTTGGGTGCAGCGCTGGGCGCTTTGGTTGCTGCCGGAGCGCTTCAAGCGGCAATCCTGCCGCGTACGACCATCGTACTATTGCTGTTCGTGACCGCGTTCGCGTGGTCGGCAGCGGTGCTAGCGCTAACTTTAGCGGCGCGCCTCAGACTTGTGCCTTGCGATGTGTCGCGACCTTTTGCCCTACGGAACGCCATCACGACGTTCACCATTGTACTGGGATACGCCGTCGGGCAAGCTAATGTGGTGAGTGTCTACTGGAAATTCTTTAGCTTCATTATAAGTTAATGCGATTTCAATGTCTACAATTACCTCCTGAATGAACCCTGTTCTGGAATTAGCTGGAAAATCTTAGTTCATAATCTGCGTTATTCTCCCGACTTCGATTAATCTTTGAAAAGGCAATGTCTGAATGACCACAAACGAAGTTTAATGTTTAGAAAAAATAGCCATTAAAACGTTATAAGTAAACAATTTATATTGTGATGTGAATAATGTGCATAAAATTTTCAATAAATATTGCAATTTGATTAAAAAAAGTTTCAAAATCATTTCTATTACGGCTTCCAGAAGGCCACTGACTCATTGTTAACAATCTCACAGGTTACGTGTCGAGAAGTGAACGTGTGCAAGAATCTTACAGAGAACGTAACCACGATGGAAGAGGTCCGTTTCATGAGCGGTGACGTAGCTGCTGCATTATGGAGTAGTACCGACCATCGGGCGTGCCCTGTACCGTTATACATTACGTTGGGCTGTTGCCTGAGCATGCTCACTGTGGCCGTGTTCCTGCGCCTGCCCATACTGGTGAAGGGAGTGCTGCTGGCGGTCATCACGGCGGGATACATGGCCGTCATCATGGCCTACCATAAGGACCTGTTCGATTGCTACGATTTAATCACTGAGTAAGTACTTTTTTAGATTTGCTGTTCACTATCACACTTACACTCACACAGGTAACGTGTCGTGAAGTGAACGTGTGCAAGAATCTCACAGAGAACGTGACCAGAACCGTTTCAGGAATAGTGACGTAGCTGCCGCATTAAAGATGACTCACGCTAGACGATTCCTGGGTTGTTTCCGAGCGCTGTCCATTCGCTTGGTTACCGCTCGGTATTGCGGCGTGAGTGTGTCCATAGACCATTATGTCCATGACGGTGCCGAGTCTGAGCCAGGGCCGGGCTGAGGCAGACGCTCGGTTGGGCCCAGAACGGTCTTGTGCGAGTCATCCTTTATGGAGTAGCACCGACCATCATCATCAGGCGTGTCCTGCATCTTTACACATCATGCTCGGGTGCTGCCTGAGTGTGCTCACTGTGGCCGCATTCCTGCGCCTGCCCATAATGGTGAAAAGGGTGCTGCTGGAGGTCATCACTGCGGGATACATGGCCGTCATCATGGCCTACCATAAGGACCTCTTCGCTTGCTACGCTTTGATTTGTATTTGTATTATATTTAATTACTGAGTTTAACATACTAACTAGATAACGTGTCGAGAAGTGAACGTGTGCAAGAATGGTATGGTAAGAAATGCGTTTTATGAGCGGCGACGTAGATGTTGCATTATGGAGTAGTACCACATGAGTTAAGATAGTACAGAAGCAAAGCTCCATACAATTGAACGCGTGTGAGTGAGCACTGGCGTCTGCCCGCGTACGCGGTGATACGCTTTTATTAGCGGCGACAGGCTGCCAGTGCTCACTCACATACGAGCACTGCATGAAGCTTTGCCTCTGTGCCTTCTTTACTCATGTGCTAGTACCTACCGACCAGGGATGTTACGGAGCTTCGATTCCGATCAGGCGGAACTTCCGATCATTATTACACCTTCGGTTCCGATTTCGGCTCCGAAACTTTTAATCGGTGGTCGAAGGATAGCAAATAGCGACGGCGGCCTGCGTCGACCTTTACGAACTGGTTCATACCCGTCGCGTTGGGAGGAGTGTTAATAATAAGTAAATTTTATAATTATTATTAGGTTATTTTATAATTAAAAGGCAAGGTTGACGGAATGATGTTTTATTTGTTCTAAAATGAAAAATATCTCTTTGAAATGAAATGAAAAGTCATTTATTCAGTCTAGGCTGTTACAAGCACTTGTGAAAGTCAAGAAGCTACGCCATCGGTTCGCAAAACTACGGCGGGAGACCTTGTACTGAGAAGAACCGGCAAGAAACTCTGCAAGGGCTGCTTTTTTCACCCTGTATTGATATATACAGAGTCGTCAAGTTGAAAAATGGCTTCAGAGATACATCTGAAGTCACCTTCCATTACATTATTATTTAAGATATAGATATATATTTCATGACCTTTTTTGACCACTTCTCACTCTGCCTCTGACCCCGACTCCGGTGCTGACTCCGATAAATCTAAAAACTCCGACATCGGTTCCGATAAGTTACTTCCGTTACATCCCTGGTACCGACCATCGGGCATGTCCAGTACTGTTGTATATCACGCTCGGGTGCTGCCTGAGCATGTTCACAGTGGCCGTGTTCGCCTGCCATGCGCCTGCGCCTGTCCATACTGATGAAAAGGGTGCTGCTGGCGGTCATACATGGCCGTCATCATGGCTTACCATAAGCCTAACCTGTCCGATTGCTACGATTTGATCACAGATTAAATACTTTTTAATAAGTTTAGTGCTAGATTAAGGTCCTTTAATCTGCTTGCATGGACTGGCCTTGAATTGAGTGATTGCTCACCGCTCTTTTGAAGCAAATAAGCAGTTTGATCCTTAATACATTTTATATCAAGTATTAACAGAACTGCATTTATAAATCTGGACTCGAACTAGCTGCTTCCACTACCTGGACAGAGGCCAAAACACGAATTTGGACATTTTTAAATTTCGTTATCATCAAATCTGCTTAGTTATCAAAATTCGTGCTTGGGCGTTAGAGGAACGAGCCGCTAAGCTACCAAGACCTTAAAAATGTCTTTGGATATTTATACCGCGTTATATCTTTTCATTAGTGTTCTTACATTCATTTTGTCCTCAGGCCAAGTATGGTCGGCTCGGCGTACATAGCCTCAGCATGGGCGCTGGCGCTAGCTCTGGCGGTCTTATTGCACGCGCGACAGACCGAGTGGACGGCGCGACTCGACTTCTTGTGGCAGGCGCAGGCGCGCGACGAGAAGCGAGACATGGACGCTTTACAGGTAAAACCATATATTCGTTTGATTTATTAAAGCTCAGTTTAGTAGTAATTAATAGTTATTTATGCAACCGTTTTTAATGAGGGGTATTAAAACACGAATCTGGGTGTGTGATAATAGTATCATATGAGTGTTTTAATACCTAATTATAACAGTTGCATACAAGACTTTATCTTTAACCATAATATACTACTTCTATAAAATATTCTAAAACCATTCTAAGAACTTAAAGTTCATGAAAAGTTTCGGCGCTGTGGTAGTCAGAGTGCATGTGAATGACAATGTTCTTTTTATGAAATTCGTACTATGTATGTACTTCGCATTGAGCAGTCAAAAAAATTGGCTTTCTGATGAGCAAGCCCTTGACGCCCTCGAAGGGATTTTAAAAACGAAAGAGTGTCATTATGAAATTTATTAAAAACAAAACTATTAGGTATAACACCCAAATGGGTGTTATAATGGTTTTCTTATATTATGACATTGGATGTTTTAATGTTGGCAATAAGCTAACTGTTTAAGAATCTTTAATAGAGGTTTTAAAATAATACATTTTCAACTATTAAGTTATCTTAGTTCTTTATGCTTCCAATAGATGGCGCACCTTCAACAACGGAACTTGCAACCATGCAATTCATATTTTGCATTTGCGTTTTATTAGATTGATTTTCCACGCACAGAATATTAGTTGCTTATCCAGATTGTGGCACAGCAAAGTAATTTTAAACTCATAGTTCATTTTAATTAGTGTTTTCGCTATTTGATTAAAATAGTCTATTTATTGCATTTTAGTATCTAAAGAAGAAGAAACGAGCATTAGACGCGAATATTACTTTGATTTACTTACTTTTATTTTATATATTATTTCAGGCTTCTAACAGAAGAATATTGTTCAATCTACTGCCTTCTCACGTGGCGACGCACTTTTTGGACAACCAGTTCAGAACCAACATGGTAACTATAATCATACAAAATATTTCCAGCAGTTTATATATTTTTTTTCAAAATGTAGAAGTATATTGTTATTACGAGATTGCTACCATCTACCATGTTTTTATGAGTCCCCGATATTTCGGCACTTTTGCAAGCACAGAACACAGAAAGAGATTAGAGGGCCTTGTGGGTGGGGCAGGCGCGTAACAGTGATGTATGAGGAAATGCTTATAACTTGACCAAAACTTGGTTTTGCTTGCGTCGTAGCTCTCGGGTGTGAGCGCTGATTGGTCCGATTGTTTGATGTCGCCACGTTTGATTAGCTACTATCTATTAGGTGGGAGTAGAGGGAGGGACGAGCCGGAAACATTGGTTCCCGTACAAACTGTCTATGATCACCCTTTTAACCATTTTCTGTGTTCTGTGGTTGCAAGCACCATGATCACAGAGTAACTGGCTTACTTCGTGAAACAGTGGCGAAATATCGGGAACTCACAAAAAACAAGGTACACAAGGTAGCAATCCCGTATATTTAAAACTTTATTGTACTTTATTAAAAAGTTTTGCTTTTATTGTTGCTCTCTTGTGGCTGAATATTGAAACGTTACAATTTTAAAGCGATTGGTCAAATACAACGAATTGCTCTTTTGACAAATATTACCAGCCGAATTTTTCCTACTTATTCCAATACAAAGAGCTCGAAATATTTGTGAAAGCTGCAAGATGCAAACTGTGCAAATAAATAGTCTTGTTTTAAGGAACCATAACAAATATTAATTACAGTCGATTTTGTTAGGTTCATTAAATAACCTTACTGGCTAGTGTATTAAACTTATTTTTATTTTACATTGAATGTGCTTTTGCGTGTCGCACTATCCAATAGGATGGAGTCAAGTGATATAAAATGGTAAAATTTAAAACGCTAGAATAACTGTATTGATTCCTCGATTAATTTATATAAATTAATGAACAAGTATAAAAAATGAATTTAAACAAAGAATACTATTACTTATGACAATCATAATTAAAATTCCGGTTGTTCATAAAAATCTAGCACCACAATATAACTTTCACGAATCAAAATAAATACAAAATCCCTACATATTATGTATATTTGTCACGGAGGTAGTGTAGTAAGTAGCCAAGCCTGACGTCACGGCCCCTGACGTTTAGTCGTTTAGCTTATTACATTTAAGGCAGTACCGCTGTTAAAGTGATTATTTTCTTGAAGGTATTCTCGTCGTTTTGAGAGACGCGTCAAAAATGTAACTACATATATTCGAGATATAATCGGTTAGCGCGTGATTATAAAGTCGTCGTCTTGAAAGCAGTGTCGCCGTCGCGAAAGTACGAAAAACATAGAATACTAATTGAGGAGCTGGCGAACAAAACGGTATAATATTAGTTAGTTGAATTTGAATCTCAAATAATTTTAATTTTGAATCAAAACCACCTAAAACAGTGTCAAAATTACTAAATTTATAAATTAAAAACCAAGTCAAAACCTCACTGTAGGTATGTCATTTAGTTTTATACAGCTCCCGTAAAATTTAATTTTATGTAATAATACCGATTTTTTCGCCAGCTCCTCAATTCTAAAATGTAAAAATAGCTTTAATCTCGGGCTGACGCAAGAGGCGCTTTCCGCAGGATCTCTACCACCAGTCGTACCAGCGCGTGGGCGTGGTGTTCGCCTCCATCACCAACTACCACGAGTTCTACATGGAGCTGGACGGTAACAACCAGGGCATGGAGTGCCTGAGGCTGCTCAACGAGATTATTGCTGATTTCGATGAGGTGAGTTTTTTTAGCTATCGAGAAAGTTGACACGGTTGTCTGGAAGAAATTGTCTTCGCTCTTAGGGATAAGTCCGCCAATCCTAGGTGTTTTCGGTCACTTTTGTATTTCATGATTTTTTTGTAGTATTATCTACTAGTACGTACTAGATTAGAAAGATCGCTCCCAATATTCATGTTAAATTAAATACACATGCCAATAATTGGTACTTTATATTTCACACTGTTAAACAACTTATTAGAGTGCTCGTCTGGCGATGACTTCCATGTTACAGAAGATCACAGTGAAAAAACATTGCCTTTTGGTGATATTGTGTTTCTGTCGATGGGTAAGGTTCCAGGCTTGTTCCAGGACTCCACGGGGGGATAGAATCAGAAAAGCATATAGCATCTGTATGCCTAATATTAACTATGAAACATAAATTAAAAGCGTTGTTATTAATTTCAGCTATTAGGAGAAGATCGCTTCAGTGCAATAGACAAAATTAAAACTGTTGGCTCCACGTATATGGCTGCCGTGGGTCTGATCCCTGATAAGAAAATGATGGATGAAGCTAGTGCTCGTAAGCACATGGCCACACTTGTGGAATTTGTGTTCGCCATGAGAGATAAGTTGAAGGATATCAACGATAACTCGTATAACAACTTTATGCTGCGAGTGGGTAAGTGACTTACGGCCATTTTTATTTTATAAATTCTGTGATCTGTCACTGTCAATAATTTTGGAGAATAAACCATTATACCTAATTGAAGCTACCTATGTTTTGTGAACTAAGAATATTCTATGGGCTTTAAGCAATCATGATAATATATTTTCACGTGTAAACGTCGCATAATTGTTGATAAAATTGATGTCAATGGAACTACATTCATGTCACGAATTTCCTAATGTAAATTTCGGCTTTATTTATAGGCACTAGTTATGTAACTGTACAAAGAACATTGATAGGATATTTTAATGAATCTGTCACTAACAAATACAAGTTTTCACAATTTTGCTGTGACATTTCCATGAGGAGAAACATGTTTTACATATCGATTGTTATTAATTTCAGGTATAAACGTGGGACCGGTTGTGGCCGGAGTGATAGGTGCTAGAAAACCTCAATACGACATTTGGGGCAACACAGTCAACGTAGCGTCTCGAATGGACTCTACCGGTCTGCCAAATCATACGCAAGTTACCGAAGAAGTGTACCAAGTCCTCAAGGACATGCCTTACCAGTTCGTTTGCAGAGGGAAGGTCAAGGTGAAGGGCAAAGGGGAAATGACAACGTACTTCTTGACTGACAGAGCGCCCTCTAACGGAAACGGCACCGTTTCGTCAAACGGACAACCTCAGAATCCGCCCACAGCATACGGCGGAGTGGCAACACCGCTGGCTATGTTACAAAACTCGGCCAGAAGAGCCGCGGCACAGCCTTCTAGACTTCCTCCAGTCAGAGAAACCTCCGTGGCCGGCGAGAACGAACCGTTACTCCCTTCCAACGGCCATCAAAACAACGGCAATAACCACAAAGGCAGTAAAAACAGAAGAAACAAAGATGAAGAAACTCCTCCGCCTCCGCCGCCGCATGGAATATCAGGGAATGCAAGATGGCCGCCGCCTAGGGCGTTAGTCCCTCCTTGGCCTCGGCCACAGGAGTCTCGTCCTCCAGCCGTTCATAAAAGAAGAGCGCCAACGAGGTTGCCTAGACCAAGATCGAGCGAAAGTCTGCCTTTAGCGCGTAGTCCACGCGTCCATTCCTCTGCTGACGAACTGAGTTCTCTCACCCGTTCGCCAAGTCTCAGTTCCTCGGACGAAAGCTATTCGAGAACTACCGACGCTTCTCCATCACCCCCGCGGCCTCACAATCAACAATGGCTACCTTCACGAGTCAACGATCGGCCAGCTTACGATTACCCCGTGAGGGCCGCCAAACCAAACCCTAACCACACCAATGAAATATACGCTAAGCACAAATTGAATAAGAAACCTTCTTTGGACGATAAATTCGTAGACGGCAGTATCAACTTTAAAAAGGAAGAAGAAAAGCTACAGAGGTGTATAATAAACATGTTGCAAGCGTCCGCAAAAAGAGACGGATGTTGCCAGACCGATAAGAAAGTGAACGAGCGATTGACCAATCGGACGAATTCCTTCTCGAGTTCGGGTAGTAGGCCGAACAATTTGAAGCATTTAAACCATGATAGTAGAGAATTATTTACTAAACGAAGTCCGACGGACGTGGCGTGCGTGCCGCCCTTTGAGAGAGAGATCCAAAGGCTGCTCGATGATAAGATTCGCACCAAGAATGTTCCGCAGAAGTCGGAGAGGAAAGAACTGAAACTGGAGCTCAGGTAATACAAAGATATTGTAGATTATCATTTAAATTGTAGCTGTATTTATAACGCGTCGAGATCGGGAAATGTCTTATACAATATTTAGGCCTTTATAATAATTACGGGTTTTTTACCGTTCAAATGTCGGTTTTATTGAAACCTTCTGTCCTAAACAAAGTAGGAATATTACTTCTTTAACAATGAAAAACCGATATTAAATAAATTTAATATTATTTAAAGTACGGGTTGTCTTACTCTATTTTATATAGTATCTAAATTGAAAGCATTAAACAAATTAAACTCAAATTGATGCCTCTGAGAATAAAGTTAAGCTCAGATGGTCGTGCGTCGAGCCGCGCGATCATCTAAACGGTCTTATGTAATGATTTTGAAACTCTTTACGCGCGTTGTCGCACGACCTACTAAACTTACCGTAAACATGTGAAAAAAAAATATTATAACGCAGGGGTCAAAACCCAGCTCTGGAACCTCTCCGCAACTGCAACAACAATAGCAGCCCACTCCACGCGGTGGGATTGGCCGCGATCGCTCAGTTGGCTCGCGCTGCGCCGGCTTCCGCTCCCTCTTCTGCTCCTGTTGTATTAACGCCCACGCGACCGAACGAGTTTCCCGGGGTACTGCCCACAGATGTGGTCGTACAGCTGCCTTCACCGCACCATTCGGCTAGAAACGATGCTAGGTAACAATCGCACTCGCAAACTATTCGAATTCGATTATCTCTATTAGTACTCGAATATTTTTCGAGTGCGAAGTGTCAATGTCAAATTTTGTATGGAAACTTGAACACCAAAACTAAAAATCAGTATACATTTGACAATGACACTTCGGACTCGCAAACGTTACGATTTCGATATTTTTTCGTACTAAGGGTACTGTTGTTAAAGCAAGGACGGATCCAGCTTTGGCGCCAGTGGGGGGGGGTCATATAGTCTTGGTATATTAAACATTGAAAGTACTTAAATAAAATCCCCCTGGGTTTGGTCCATCTGTACCCAGCCCAGGGGGGGTCATGACCCCCATGACCCCCCCCTGGATCCGCCCTTGCGTTAAAGACCCTACGTAAAATCTTAGATCACGTTTTGAATACTCGCCTTACTCCCACTGTTATCATACCGACACAGTCGAATGAGTTCCATTGAAAACGACTTAGATCAGCTCCTGAAGGTTACCTGAATAACTTTGAAATTTACTCCATCCCCTACAGTCACGACGCAACTGAACGAGTTCCTTATCGTATTGCCAACTGATTCAGCTAGGCGACACTTAAGCGATGCTCTGGTAGTCCAAGTGATTATAGGTATACCTCCCTATTTCATTCATAGGGAAGGCCTGTGCCCTAGTAGTGGGGACATTAATAGGCTAATGATGAAAGGATGATGAGGGCGCTAAGCATTGCTTAATTTTAGATTTAAGGAATGAAATTGAAGAAATCTATAATTATGATTAATAAATAAAGAGCCATATTCAAAAAAAATGGTGTTTTGCAGTCCACCATGTGAGCGGAAAGCGGAAGCGACTTCTTCCAAAGAAAATGAAGAGAAAGAAATTCAGGAACGACTGCACAACCGGGTAAGTTACAGATTCTGATACGTATGATTCAGCTCAGAAGCCAGCATAGATGCTGGCTCTCAAAAAGGAAAATACACAAATTTTTTGAAGTGAAAACTTCTTTAGCGTCGTTGTACACTTTTTTTGTATGGGTAAAAAATAATAAACTCGTGTCAGGTTAATTAAACACGTGAGCTGATCGCATCATGACACACAATAAAATTGGAAAGGTTGTTGACTTTCAATATATTGGACGAAACGTAGTAATATTTTATTTTATCGTATTATAATAATAAGTCTATCTAGGACGTCCACGCGGCAGCTTTATTGCGAAGAATTTTTTTTTTTACAATAGATGTCGCTAGGTGCGCTTAAATGTGATTCATGTAAGTTGATTTCTTTACAATAGATGTCGCTAAGTGCGCTTAAACGTGATTCATGTAAGTTGATTTTTCTGAGAGATAAACTTTTTTAATGTAATATAAATTTTCATGTTTGTGTACGATAGTGCAATAAATAAATATTGTATTCTACCACATACATGATAGTACTTTTATACTGATAATTAAAGCAATTCGTGCAAAATTATTCCCTAACCATTCCAAAATATCAAAAATGCACAACGTTAATATTCAAGTTTTCACTTCTGCCGGCACTCCTGGAGTGCAACCCGTAGTTTTTTTTACAATATTAATTAATTTAATAGCGAAGTGTTTTATGCAGATGCACTTCCCTGAAAGTAATCTTCGTAGCATTTTTAACAAACAAGAGTTATAACATTTATCTACTGTTTAAAAAACGTATTTCTCATCTATAGATACTAATATTAAAAGGTAAAGTTTGTGAGATTGTAGGGGGTAATCTCTGGATATACTGAACCGATTTTGAAAATTCTTTTTCTACTCTTCTACCACTATAAAGTCACGCAATTTGTGAGTGTCATAAGTTATATATTAGAACAAAAACTATAGTCTACCTACATCGAAGCGAAGCGACTTGTAATTATGATAAAACTTCTTCCCATAACAGGTGACCGCTTCGAACCATAGAGAAATGGGCATCTACGGTGAGAGTCAGTCGGAATGGAGCTCTTCGTGTTCCGAAGGCGAGGGCGAGGGTGAAGGTGGGCAGCCCGAAAGCACCGGATATACGACCGACGATCCAGCGCTGGAAAACGTCTCCATGCTCAACGAGGCTGGACTTACTGACGCTGAAGCTGCTTTAAGTGACGTCAATTCTTGTTACTTCGACCGCGATGACGATGTCTCTTCGCGAGCCTCTTCCCGCTTACTAGATTCGGAAGCTCTAGTCTCTTTGGAGTCCCTTAGCGCCATCTATGACTCGGATGAGCCCGCGCATCGATACCTTGCTAACATACGCACTGTCAGCGAATCAATCACGAGGAACTTCGGACAACCCGCCCACGTCACAGATGGAGAAAGCGACGTGTAATGCTAACGTGAGTGATATGTGTGTTATTTCGAACGCGATGACGATGTTTCCTCGCGAGCCTCCTCTTGACTTCAAGACTGGGAGGCTTTATTGTTTCTTTAGAGTCTCTAGCGCCATCTATGACTCAAGACGAACCCGTGAACGGATATCTGGCGAACGTACGCACCGTCAGCGAATCGATCACGAGGAACTCTGCAATGCAGACGTGAGTGATATGAGTGTTATTTCGAACGCGACGACGATGTTTTCTCGCGAGCCTCTTTCCGTTTATTAGACTCAGAAGCTTTAGTTTCTTTAGAGTCTCTCAGCGCCATCTATGACTCGGACGAACCCGTGAACGGATATCAGGCGAACATACGCACCGTCAGCGAATCGATCACGAGGAACTTTGGACAACCCGCCCACGTCACAGACGGAGAAAGCAACATGTAATGCTGACGTGAGTAATATGTGTGTTATTTCGAACGCGACGATGATGTTTCCTCGCGGGCCTCCTCCCGCCTTCTAGACTGGGAGGCTTTTATATCTTATTTGAGTCCCTCAGCGCCATCTATAACTCGAATGAGCTCGCGCATCTATACCTCGCGAACAATACGCATATTCAGCGCGATTCGCTGATGTACCTACTGTCTGCGAATCGATTACGAGGGACTCCGGACAACCGGTCCACGTCACAGTCGGAGAAAGCGACGTGTAATGCTGCCGTGAGTGATATGTGAAATTGTTAATTAATTGATAAAAAGAAACACCCTTTCGGTTGTAATTAAGAATAATGTGATAGTGAAGAAATCTCAGAATTTGTGTGTACTTTTACATGTGACTAGAATCTGTCACCAGTTTTTAAAGACTTAATTTTGGCTCTCTCTATTAATTACGAAACAATACTCACGAAAGATTTCGGTGATCTAGCGTCGTCGTGATGGCATCGTTCTCGAATTTTGAAAGGAGCGGATCGTTTTTGACCCTTTACACTTCAAATCGTCGTCACTGACCTACGATGTGCCTGTGTTTTGTAATGATTTTACGATTGTAAATTGTGTCGATATGTACCTAATACTTACCTGTGTAATTAAAGTGTATGATATTCATGTACAGCCGAGGTGCCATGTGATGGCTCGTGAATCATCAATGAGTGTGCGATGATCTCTACAATTATAAGGTGCTCTGAATTTTAGAATTATTTGTGGTTAAGTATACTTATTTTTTTAATACCTATATATTTATTCAATTAAGTATATAAAGAGAATTACAACTACCTTATGTCTAAAAACGTAAAAACTATAAATAACTAAGAACTTAAATATACAATTTACAAAATATAAAATATATCACCCCCAGCGCCGCCGTCAGGAATGGTGCCCAATAGGCTGGCAGCATTTCCACGTTGGATAGCGAGGCTAATCCGTTGGCCGAGGTAGCTGCCAGCCTTTTGATCACCGGTCACCTCGGTGAGTCTCTTAGACAATTCCTTGAAGAAGGAACGAGCACTTGGACCCCATGGTCCCATGGTCTCCACACCAAATGGCACAAATATGTAGCTCTCATTGAGAGCTGAATATTTGCGCCGCTTGGAGCACTCGGCGGAGGCCGCCGCCGCGCCTGCAGCCAGGGAGGTACTACTTGTATGGCACGGAGCAAGCGTATCCACGCAAGTTGCGTCCCACACAAGAGGACGACCCTGCTTCCAGGGAATGAGCGTCATTCCGTCAGGTCTCTTGCCATCGTCTCGGAAGATGCCGCTGGGCTCTAGGGCCGCTGGCACATTGACTGCGACAAGAGCTCTGCGGATGACGTCATTGATGCAGGCGTGACGGGAGACTCGACCAGCGCTCATTTGGCATGAGAGACCATGGTGTCCCAACTCACCGACGCGAGTTCCGCAACGACAACGATGGGGGTGATTTGTCTTGACGCCGAGTCTGAGTGAAATGGCAAGTGATAGAGAACTTCTGTCAAGCAGAGTCCCGATATTGGCTGAAGGAAGAGCTTGCAGCCAGTAACCAGACTCTACTTGAAAGACCGCTAGGAGGCGAGCACGCTCAGCTGCGTTTTCAGAGGAAGCTAGAAGATCACTCTGAAGACGCAAACAGAGTGGCTCGTCCCATTGCCTCTGTGAAAATAAGGAGGAAGGTATATCTACTCCCGGGCATGCCCTGCACCAAGCATTCCTGGCCTCTGCAAGGTGAGCCGGCTCCACTACGCCTAAAGAAGGACATAGTATTTTATTAAAAAGCTCGGCTGTACCATTTGCAGAAGACAGAAAAGAGGGAAGGGCAATATGTGAAATATGGCGAGTACCAAGTCCTCCGAAACGAACAGGGAGAGAGGCCTGCTTCCAGGCGTTATCAGAAAATGAACAATTTAGAATTTTGGAAAGTGTATCCCTGAGCGAACTGTCAATAGATGACAGTAGCCCTGGAAAAAGCCAAAAATGAGTACTACGTAAAAAATATATGAATTTTGGGGCAAAAGCGCAAAAACGTATTAAATACAAAGCCATGTGAGGATTAATTTTTAACATTTTTTCGGAGGACTGCTGAAATTTAGAAATTTGTTCATCAATAAAAATCGGAATAGCATCGTCAAATATGGGGGACCCTAGGAGACGGAGTGATTTATTATCTAGAATTTTAATATTAGGAGCTAAAGCCGAAAAATCGGTAATAATGCGTTGTAACTGATCCTTTGAAAATTTTGATTCTGGTATAAATAGTTCGCATTTTGAATAATTTAGATCAAGGCCAATATTTTTAAATTTATCAATAATTATGTCAAAATCTGAAAGAACTGTTGAAATATCGCCAGCGATAGTTCCGTCATCAAGGTACCACACATTAAATTTTGAATTTAGCGAATCAATAATAGGTTGTATTGCCAAACTAAAGATAGCGGGCCCGAGAGGATCGCCTTGCTGACAGCCAACAGATGAATGCAACAGGTTGTTTTTAAAAATAAGTTTAGTCGGTTCGCTGTAGCATTGCCAAAGATATTTATAAATAGTGGGCGTTTTTTCTTTAATTACTGTAAGCAAGGCACCTCTATCTACGGAGTTGAAGGCATTCTTGACATCCACCTTCAGCACCACCTCCGCAGCGTCAAGTGATAGAAAGGTGCGAAGAGCGTGAACGGCTGCTTCACAACCACCCTTGACGCCAAAACCAAGCTGCACCGGTTGGAAAACAGCTGAAACTGTCGGTAAAATATGTTGACAGCAAATTTTGGATGCTATACGACGAATTGTGGAGCCAACAGCTATAGGGCGGATACCGCCATCTTTTTTCTTTAGAGCAATTAAGTTGGCCCCGTAAAGGATCTCGACAATGTCTTTAGGTACTTCGCCGGATAGCATTAAGTTTACCAAAAGAGTGATATTATGTAATAGGACTCTGCCAGCGTCACCTACTGAGATTGAAAGGAGGTCTTTTAAATGTTGTGGTGACAAACCATCTAGACCACTGGCAGAGCCACTTTTGAAGGAGTATATCGCGGCTGATACGTCAGAATCTTTGCTTATTAGATAAGCAAGAGTTGTTTCAGGTGGCGAAGGAAGGAGAAGAGTTGGTGCTGGAGGTGGGTGCTTGTCTTCAAGAGCACTAAGGGTCTCCTGGCAGTTGACGGCGACAACATCGTGGCTGAACAGTAGGTTTGCGGCTCCTCGGAGATCGCCATCGCTAATTTTTGATTCAATTAATTTTATAGAACTATTAGATTTTGGAGGCCGAGAGGGAGGAAAGACTAAAGAATTCACAGAAGGATTTAGGCGGCAGTTCTCCTTTATTTTTTGTGTTAGTGATGAACTAGTACTATTTGCATTAATATGTAAAATTCTATAGGAAAATGTTAGAAGTTCTGCCCAACTCTCAGGCGTGTTTACTCTAAGCACATGTTCGATACATTGTGATAAAGAAACAGCGACTGAGGGCCGTGCAGAACGAGGTATTCTTTTTATAACTGGAAGTGTATTTTTGAGATTACCAAGAGTTTTGCAAAGTGGTTCGTTACCTGAATTTAGAGATTGCGAAACTGCTGGCACAGAGGCAGAAGATTTATGCAGCCTGCCAATGTGTATATTTAAGCCCCGGTTACCTTTAAAGAACCGGGGTTGTGGGCACTTATGACATTGTATCAGTTGTGCGTCGTCACTGCCAGGGACGGGATTTGCCGACATTCAATCAGAAAGAGCGTCAAGACTATACTAGAAAATATTAAAATGAAAATAACTCTATAAACTAATTAGAAAAAAACATACAAAACAAACATGAATATTATAAAAACACAACAAATTTTAAATGTCAATTTCATTAATTATCACGTCCGTCAAGGTTGCTTGGCTACCGTCACAATTCGAGGATTCTATTGGCTACGAAGAAGCGGGCACCTAGCAACAGGCGCGGCTGTTCAAGGCGTCCTTAGAAACAATCACTTCGGCAAATTGCCTGCAAAACAGCTGTTTTTATGGAGAGAAATTCCAAAGAAAAACACCACCGCACAGCTTGCCCACATGCGGGCACATGAATAAAACCTTGGGCTGCCAAAAACTGGTCTTCTTTTTCCCAATATACGTTGAAAACAATTTTTAAACAATATTATAAATCTGGACGATGATGATGACGGTTCTGTCATTTTTTTTTTTTTTTTTTTTTTTTTTTTTTTTTTTGTGGTTTGTCTTGTGATAATGGTATAGGAATTTGCACTCGAGCGACCAATCTCTGTAGTATCCTGTACTTAGTTTAAGGGCTGGCCCCTCTGCTCTCGTTAGGGTTTGTTTCGAGAATATGTGTTTGTCTCGGACAAACCGTCACTCAAGTGAGCTACGTGGGTATCGTGTATGTAAGATGTATTCGTGCATTTCAAATTTATCTTTAGCATAAAAATACTGTTACCATAATTGTGCCGCAGAAGCATTACGAAATAATTAATTGTTGAATTCGGCTTATCGGATGTTTCTCGTAACTTTCAGTGCAATAGTATTATCGTTGTTTCACAGTATTATGTTTTAAGAAGGTTATTTATGTATCTAATGAAATGTCCCCGCAAAGCCCCGTTACGCTTATATATAACATATTTATTTATGCCGGTATTATTGATAATACAGTTGCGATTGTGACCGACGACACTTAGAGATTGTTCAAAGTTTAAGTACCTACATTTTTCAATAAGAGCTATTTTTGCAATAGAAGTCAATTGGTAATTTTGATGTGTGTTATGTATATTTTTTTTACTACGGTACAATCAACGAGAAGATCAACAGAAACTTATCTAGAATTGCAAATTTTCTTCAAATCATTTGGCTATATCTTAATATCATGCAAATGATTATGAAAAAATCTTATTTTATGATCGATTCCCCTAATTTTCTAATGACAACTACTATCGCGATACATTTTCAATTTGTAATTTTAAAGATAGAAAGAAACTTTGACCACCACTATTGAGTTTTTTAAATACATATCTCTCTAATGTAAAGTTTGGAACTTTATTATATATCTATTAAGTAAAAGCGTTAAACTTTGATCACATATTGAAATGGGTTAAATATTTAATAAAAACAATTATTGCCAATTATGTCAATTATTCTGTTTTAGCAATCTCTTAGTGTTCCATTGCATATTTCTAGTCACTGCTCGAAGGATGCGTTCCAAAGTGGTTCCTTGGAATATCGATATTGGTCCAAGTACAGGTGCCATTAAAGTAACGTTAGTTATTATGACATTATCATATCCAATGTTTTCAATAATGAATATTAAGTGTATTGAAAATAATTTGTTGTAACAATAATTATAAGATTGACCGTACAGTCAAGCCATTACCACATTTTTTTTTCAGTTGAATTATCAATAGATACTTAATTCAAAACACTTCAGTAATTCACTTAGAAATTATGTTAATTTGATAAGCAACATTGAAAATGGTATTTGGTGAATTTTTATGCTTTGTTGTTAATGTAACTATTTGGGTTTTATTACCCGTGGATTTATTAGTGTTCGTTATTATGCTATCGTACTTTATACTGTTATAATTGATACTTTAAATTGCAGTTTGTTGGATAAGCTTGTACTTAAAGTCGTCATGTTTGAATGTGTACTACCTATGTAAGAGTCGGCTGGTCGCGGAACATGGAATATTTCCTTAAAAATTTTTTTGTTATTAAACGCCAGTATGGTATCATAAGTTTATTGTTACTTAAAAATATACAACTTAAAGAATATTGTTTTATTAAAATAGTTCATCGAAATTTATGTTTTTTTTTACTATGTTTTTGAAGTTAATTTCGACCAACAAGGTCCAAAGTCTTAATTTGCCATATTCTTCGTTTAATTTTTTAGGTTAATAGTTGGTAAAATAGAATTAAAGTGACTTTAAATCATTGTAAGATTATGATGAGGCATGACAAAAAATCTTGTAGTACGTATGTATATAGCGGTAACACAAAAGTGTTATTCTCAGATCTAGAAAATTGTTAACTTTGTAAATATTGTTATCATCTCAAGTGCTATTCCGCTCTAATTGATAATACATTGTAACTTAAGTGTACCATTCTGTGAAGAGAAGTTATTTTTCGAAGGGAACCTTTTGTTTGCTATTTTTATTCCATATATTTCGATTTCGTGTTGTTTCTCGTTAAATTTTTATACATAGTGCCAAACTATTTTATGTATACGCTTGTAAATCATACATGTTCCATTGGTTTGACACGCTTAAAATGTTTAGTTTTTCAATCACATGTATACGTACACTTATTTTCAATATGTTCATGACTCTACTGTTAATTGATAAATATATTTGATTAAATAAAACGTTGTAGCCATTAAGACAACTACAATTCAGTAATATTTTTTAAAGAAGTGCTCAGTAGAGAGGTTACTAATTCAAATATAACAAAACTCAATTCGAATATAACAAAATGGAATCTGTAACAAAAAAAAAATCATCTTTAGAATTGTAGATCTAATATTCTGAAAGTTGTAAACAAACAATAATGTTTTTATGATATCAGTAAAAGTAAAGCTCTCTTTTAAATGTTTTAAGATAAAAAATATCTAACTATTCGAGTAAAATTATTGAATTTCCATTATTTAGATTAAATCGATACGCGGATGGACAGGAATACTGATTGAAACTTACAACGTAAACGGTAGCAAAAAAATATTGTACGACTATTTTTGTAGAATATTAATTGCGCCTTGTGTAGAAAATGTAATGTGTATTTTAATTTATTTCAATTCAAGCAATATTACTTACAAATATAAAATGGTTTACATAATCATTTGTGGATTTTAATTTTAGTGTAAGTGTGATATCCTACAAAGGCCCAAGCATGAATTTTGACAGCTCCTTAATGTCAGTTTTCAGAACAAAAGGCAGATGGAGTGCACGGAAAACGCAATGCGTGGCAACATTGCAAATACCTATAGCAGTACCTACATAACAAAAAGCACATGGTTTTATAGTTAATTCCAGATATATCTTATTTACTCGTGGGCTCGTTAATACCTGTGTTAATACTACCGTGTGTACTAATATTAAATCACAAGAAGCGAATGGCTTACTATATTGGTTCTTGTTGGTAAATCAAATGCAGGATTCTACCTATCTTTATATATATAATTCTTCTGTGAGTGTGTATATCACTGAACTTCTCTTAAACGACTGGACCGATTTTGATGAAATTTTTTGTGTGTGTTCAAGGGGATCTGAGAATGGTTTAGATTCACAATTTTGTCCGCTGGACAACCCCTATTTTTTAGGGCGGTACGAAGTTCGCTGGGTCAGCTAGTTTACTATAAAACAAGTAACTCAAAACTATTTCGATGTTGATAAAAAAACTAATCTTCTAAATCCAAAGATTACATTATACTTATAGTGTTTTTTCTGAGCGATAAAGATAAATTCGTAGAATTTTATGATACAAAAAAAATGGTTGCCTGTAAAGTCGGTTTTACGGGCGAAGATTTTACGTGACAACGTCTTTTTCTCGGTAGAATATTTATTGATATGAATATAATTAAATTGCACAATAGGAACAAGGAATTGAATGAAAATAAGAATTGCACAAATTTTAACTATAGAAATATATTTTGTTTACTAAAACATTGTACATGTAAACTTAAACTTAACACGAGAGACTCATCGTAACGTTACCGAGCGTTACACTTTTTCATAAGTGACTCCCAGCCGCAACCTAATTTAAGACGTTGTCACGTCAAAAAAGCTTAAGTTTCTACCTTCGTATCTATTCATCTGAATATTTTTATGTAAAGTCATTGGAATGCAAGAAAAACATTAATGATTAACTAAGTTAGACGAACAGATGGAGCCACATCACATCACCACTGATGTGACATATCCATAGAGTTACTTAATATCCTTTTTATTTTATGTTTGAAATACAGACGCTGTTAAGCTAACTTGGCCTCGGCAAACTAGATATTTATTGGAGATCTCTGCTTTTACAGTTAATTAATTCATTAGAATGAGCTGGTAATTAGTTGAAGAGTGAAAACAAATATTATGTTTTTACAACGGCAACGTAGGAACTTCCTTTGCGTTTCTGTATCGATGATTTTAACATTGTGCGCGCAGGGACCTTTTATTTGTGTAGAGTTCGGAGAAAAAGCCATTATTATTATTATTTTAAACTAAATATTTCGTACCCTTATGTTTCTGTTACTTACAAGAACTGAGAAATGCGAGTCCACAGTTCTAGGAATAGAACACGTGTGTCATGTAAGCTCATGAGGATTGGACTTACATTTCACGCTTCATAAGGTTACATCACTTAGAGTTGCAGGACAGGTGCGGGCGTGGAGCAGTGAGGTGCCTTCCGCATACTAAATGCCCTTAGCCTTGAAATAACAGTAGGTACCTCCTTAAGTACTCAACGGATGTCATAAAACTTCGCTGCTACTCCATACCACAATACAGCTCATAAGCCGATTTGAAACAAAAAATACGTTAACGGTTAGAATTTAAATTCATTCTTGTCTTAAGTTTTGATTTTTTTTTATTCTTTTGGATTGGACGCATGTGATAAAACTACTTGCGGTTTACTGAGTAAGTAAACACTAGTCTAGTAAATTTAAAAATTAATCAATGTTATGGTTTATCACTGCCAAGAGTATTTTAATAGGTACTGAAAAGATGGCTAGTAGACTAATAAATACAAACATAAGTATATATATATATTTTGACTTCTTGTGTATGGAAAGGTCAATCATTTGCAGTAATAAAAATAAGATACACAATACATCTTTCTAAGAATATAACATAGGTACCTGAATCATGCTTTGTTGTCTCTATTTGACTTAACAATTGCTAGTGGAGTGATGTGTTAAACAAGAATAAGCTTTAAATTTTGATTTAAGAATGTTAGTGTAAGTGTCTTCTAATTCACTCACATAAATAGTGTATTAATGGACTGTTATAAGGAAAATCAATTTTCCTTGCACTAATGTAAGCTCTATAATTTTTTGCTGATCAGTTAAATTTCAACATAAATTGTAGCCTAACCAAGTGTGATTTTGTTATAAATCCTGCCTAAGTATTTTTCCGTCTTACTGTTAGTTGGTCTTTACAAATCTAAGTAAGGTGGAGTTAAGTGTAAATTGACCGTTCAAATTCTACGCATAGTTATGCATTCAAACGTTGGCATGGTAATATTGATTACTTACACTAAAAAGGCCAGTGATGATACTTCCTACATGCCAAGTGTACACTAGTGGTGTTTTTACGTAAGGCGAGCTCATGGGATGACATCAGCAATAAATCATACACAATTATTTATCTATCACCATCATGATGGTTCTCTGTGTGTGCTCTTCGTGTCATGACTATAGCAAATTCCAACGCACACAAACGGTAATAGTTGTAACATTGGTATATTACGTGAAAGGCTGGTGGTGCGGCCGTGTTGGTGGGGCGGTCAAGAGTTCTCGTAACTAATGACTCAGTCGGCCAGTAATCAGGGGCAGTTTCATTCAAAATAATGTGGAGTAGTCGGTATGCGAGTGAAATACAAACCGAAGCTAGGCAGGTATGACGCGGCGACTCCACCACGGGCACACAGCTGCCGGCGCGGGCCGGCCACCGATTGGCTGTCGGCGGAACCGGTCGCGCTCCCCGCTCCCCTCCCGCCTCGCCACCACCAAACAACTTCAAATTCTTATTCATATTCCTTACCACGACCGTTGCTGTCGCTGAGAGCGCACACACGCGCCACGATTTCGCGTAATCTTATCATAATGTGCTCATTGTCACAAGCGATTTCTGGATTGAGTGAGTGAATCAAACAACATAATAAAGTGCGGATTCGAGTACAATTATTGCATCAGGACGCCATTACGTATTACGATATGAAAACGCAGGAAGGATCCTTTGGTTTTGTCCTTTTTGTTTCACCAGTGGTTCGTGAGTGGCTCCGATGCAGGGTTGCCTTCGCCATGTGCATCAGATAGTGTTGTGCTCCTATTAGTTTGTCGACAAACTAATATGCAAGCTATTGGGTAGTGGTTCGTGGTGAGGCGTTGGTGATTAATAAGTGACATGAAGGTGACGGTGTGCTTCGGTTCTGTGCGGGTGCTGGTGCCATGCGGGGCTGGTGACCTGCTGGTCCGTGACTTAGTGCGGGAAGCGACGCTGCGCTACAAGAAAGCCACGGGACAGGTTAGTATTCCTAGTCTATTCAGCCAGTCACAGTTTTCGCGCGGTTTTCGCGGATTTCTATTGGCTGGCGTCAATTGTTTATGTTTGTTTTGTTTTAAGTTAAGTGACTAAAATTCGTCATATTATAGTAAGGTATTTGCAATCCATACAATCAGTTGAATTATGGATGAATTATACTCATTATGATGAAATACGATATTATGCTACCTATATAACTTCAAAAACAGGAAAAGAAGAAATATATTATATGAATGACGCATTAAGTAGGTATAGCAGATATGACCTAGTGAGGGTAGGTTTTTATTTATCTTCATAAATGAAATATTAATATTACTTTACGACCTACATAATTTATGGTATTAAGTATTGATAACATGAGGTCACGAGGCTATGATTTGGGTGGTAGAACAGCTTTATACGTAGGTAACTTTTTGGTAGTAGGAAGTCGATCAAATCAAATCGTATTGACTTTTTACCACAATGTTCAGCGACTCAGGTAAGCTGTAAGTTGATACTTAGATGAAAAAAGTGAATTCTTGGTCAAACCACAGATTATTTAATATTTACGTCAAACCTTGAACCTCTGTCATCAAATTTAATAGTGTGACCCTATGATGTTCTCTGATTTACTATTTGTTGCAACTTCTTTATCATGGTTTCGCAGTTTGCTTTAATGATCATTTTTGGTAAAAGGTACAAAAAACCTATACATAATTTTGGCACATAGGCAAGCAGCAAGAACTACTTTCGTGTCGATATGAAAGACATCCATTTAGAGTAGATGGGCATTAGCGGTGCTCGGTTGCGGTCAAACTTGATTCATGAGCTGGTTTCTCGAATTTCATAATGTCGCCGACACAGATTATAAAATTAAATATAAAAGTAGGGTGGATGCCCCGTGTAAAACAGGCTTAAAAAGACTTAATTTTTAAAATTTTAAGTACCTACTAAGCTTAATGTTTGTATCTATTAATATTCATCACATTATGTATTTTACACAGAACAGAAAAAACTTTTTTTTTTGTTCTTAAATCGGTAAATATAAAATCCGTGGCAATATATATTTACTGATTTAAGCCAAAGCTAAATTTACAAGTTACAAAAATTATTACAATGCATTTGTTTTCATAATATTATGTAGTTAGTTTCAAACTTATTTTTTTAATTTTTTTTTAGGATAGCACATGTATCTAATCACTTGGGACAGGTAAGACCATAGAACACAGCTATGGGTTTTACCATCGTATTGTAGGTCGTAGTTATTTATGTTACCAGTGAAAAAATATATAAAAAGGTTGCTATTGAGGGTGTAATAATATTTGAGGCATCTACCCTAAATATCAGTTCAAAATAATCGCCGAACTACGAAAGGATATTTTTGATTGAAGGTGATGCGTCAATCTCTATTTTGCATTCGAATATGACCTACGTTTTGAGGACGATAAGTTTCGCCTCCGCACAAATTTACTAAAATTCTTACTAACATAACATAATATCGTATGTACCTACCTATGAAACCCATATTTGTCTTTATAAACATACTAGAGATCGCCCGCGACTTCGTCTGCGTTAACTTAGTTTCTTGAAAATCCCTCTGGAACCTAACATTGTTTCGGGGTAAAAGTACCCTATGTGTTAATCTAGGGTGTCAGCTAACTCCATACCAAATTATATTAAAATTTTTGTTAATTTTATTAAAAGCACCACAGCTTTCCTGCTTTAATTGTTTACCATCTAGTTGACATAAGACAGTATAAACTTTCTTATTACTAATAATACATACCTACTTAGTACAATCATGTAAAACTATAGGGCGTTTGTGTTTTTCCCATGTCTAAAAGATCTAAACTTCAATAAAGAGAAGATTATTGGAGTTTAGATTTTTAAGACCTGGGGAACACCTAAATTGACTAGATTGTACTAAGTATTATTAGTTAAAGAAAAGTTTATATTGCCTTACCATAACAATGAAAATAAATTTATGAAAACATCCATCCATTCTCTTTGACATATTAGATTTAAATCCTTTTTTTTAAGGGTTGAGAGTGTTCTAATATACCTTAGTATTTTTTATCGTTTGTAACTAATCAGCTGCATTAGTGAGCTAAGCACCACCGATAGCCATATCCATTCACCTGCAGTGCAACACACCTGCAGCATCGTTCAAAATCCGTAGGAAGCAGCCGACCTTGTAAGTTGCGCCGGCACGCCATCTACACCGCATTACTAACACAATTAACTTGCATACGTAAAACTGACGTAAATGTGTTAACTATGCGATTCTAATATGCCCATCTTTGGAGCGCAAAATATACTATTGCTTCCCACATTTTAATTGAAAAATAGATACAGTTGAATACGTGACAGTCGAAACAGTTTTTGTAAGCGTACTGTACTACACAAATAGGGCTTTTGTTTGAGCTTTTGAATGTCAAAGCCATAACTATTGTGTCTATTGACTAGGCCTCCAATTATTGTAAGGTGTACCTATCATTTGGTTTAGTTTTTATATAAATGCTTGTTCTTCTTACAAGGTCAGGTCTTTTCGACTCTTAAAAGAGCTCACACAGCCTGTTAGAATAAATAAGCTATCATTTAAAAAAACCTTCTAAATGCCAGTTTTTATCCCATACATAAAGAGAAGAAAAAAAATACGTTGCTAATAAAACTATAATTTCTTTAGAAAATCCTTTATTTTTTTATCAGAACGGACGCATTGTAGAAGCTTGCTTCCGTCGTCGGCGTCGCTCTAGGTTCGGACCAAAAAAAATCGGTTCATTAGGACCTCTGGCCACTGGGATCATGCTGTACGGACAGTTTAATAATGTGTATAATTAAAAAAAATGAGAACCTCCTCTTTTTGTTGCTTAAAAAGAATAGCTAATGCTATTGACTGTGCAATAGAGGCGCGAAGAAGCACCTTGCAAGCTCCGCTCTCATCTGAAAGTTTATTAAGTATTTCTATAGAGGCAGCTATTTTAAGTATTTTTAAAGGCTATCGTTTATTCTACAGAAGTTAGTTATCGTTTTGATTTGCTAAATTTAGAAAATGGTTCAGGTATGCAACCTTTTTTTGGCAAACATTGATGTTTCTGCATGATTGGCGACAGCAGTTGCGCAAACTCAGGTCGCAACCTAACGAGCCGCGGTAAACGTCTGCTGGCGAAACGACGCATTCACCCACCCAGCGTTAACCAAATTATTTATAATAAAAACTTCGTTTGTGTAAAACATTTCGCGAAACGTTTTGGTTCCGTGCTTTTGTCACATCACGTATTGTTGCCATAAGACGGACGGCTATAAACAATAAATTCTCGAGTTCGTTAAAACAAGCACAACTTTGGAAATACTACGGTCGAAACAATGGAACGGTGTTGCGGGTTCTTAAGTAGGTACGTGAGTACTTACAATGGTGCTCTGAAATGGAGTGCATAAATGGGCTTTATTACTTTGAGATAAAGTGTGAAAGTAATAGTGACCTGCACTCGCCAGGTATGCGAGATCAACATGTACGGGCGTCTTGAGAGGTGGAGAGACGCCTATTGTGCCTGCTCTGTACGGTACGGATCTTGTTCGAGGACCGGTTTCTCAGAAAAATGACGAGGCATTCCTTGGGGCATTCCTATGGATTTTTTGTCGTTTCGGATGAGCTCCGAGCTTATCTTTTTTGATGAGTTTTAAAATATGTTTTTTAATGAATAATAACTATGTAATTATATTAGTCAATTGTTTGAAGTAGGTAGCTGTGGTAATGAATGATTAAATCAGAGATACGAAGAACAATGTTACGGAATTCAATGTAACTATTTTTATCACATCAGTATAATTTATTTCTGTAACTAACTAACTAAATGACACCTACTGAACTCTAAATAATATGAATTTTGATACTTCTGTTTACAAAATTTATACCTATATAAAATATAAATACATATAATTAAGTGAATTAGTAAACTAAGATGGGAGATATTAAATTAATGGGCGTGAGTATTCAATAATGTAGATACTACACTGTAGTTATGTTTAATGTTAGCTGTAAAAGAGAATTTTAACTATGAACATAAAAAACAAGCACTTCTTTTAAACAAACTTCAGTTGACCGTTTATGTTCATCGTGGAAAAAATAATAAAGATCACTTCCCAAACTCGAATCCACCCATGTGCTCGCTTTCGTGCCGAGAGAGGGTCGGAGATTAGCTTTTTTCTTGAATTATTAAAACGGCGATGTGTACCATGTGTTGATAACCATAACAAGTGTTGTTGTTTTTTTGTGAGGAAGATCAAGTGGCGCCAGATTTACGAAGGCAAAGTTCAAGAAACTGTCGGTTTTTATATTGAGTCATATCCGATCCGAACCTGTATTTAAAAAACTCACTTTTGCTATCTCACTGTGAACTTAATTTACAAAATATGCAAACAAGTTAAAATACTTGCCGTAAACGACTACCACACGACGTAGGTTAATAAACAATCGTATAACTAACTCACGAACGATAAGAGTTTGGAGGTCGGATGATGTCTCCTCGTGCAAGTTTCATTCTTTAAATAAATTAGCCTAATCTTATCTGAAATATCCTCATTTGGGTAAGTAGGCCGTTTTACAACTACCCACATATTATAGCAATCGTACGGATTACGATAGAGTTGTCGTAAAAGTAACTCTTTATTATGCGTTTCTGGCAAAGTCATTAACTTGTGTATATTTATATCTTAATTTTGTTGATGCATGATTATTTTAAATTTTAGTAGGAAGGTAAAATTGCTCGTAAAACCCGTTATTCTAGCTCTCATGTGTAGGATACGCATTAATAGCAGTTTGAGTAGACGCAATATGCTTTTGCTGTGATATAACAGTTCAAGAGATATTTTTTTGTTTTTATTAGTATTAACCTTTGGTCCTGTCGACATAAGCAGTTGTTAGCACCTACCAATGGGTATACTATACATATGGGTTACTATAAATATTATGGTATAGTGACCCACCACGCGAATCCGTATCC